AGCCCTGGGCCTTCCTTGGTTTCTTGGTGATCCTCACATGGCATCTGTCTTCTGTGTATGCATATCCCTGTTAACAATGCAGAAGTGATCAGATTTAGAAGCCACCCTACTCAGGTACGAACTAATTAACATAACAAAGAAAACCTTGCTTCCAAACAGGATTACCTCTTCAAGTATGGGGTTAGAATTCCAACACATATTTTAGAGGGGCACGATTCAATCTGTAACAGTCCTCAGAATAAATGTGTGTTAAATGAGGGAAGTGCAACCAGTCTTGCTGCTAATATTTATATGACACTGCAAGTTTTTGGTGAAATCCACATTTTTATTTTACACTCTTCCAGAACCCGGAAAGCATTTCCCAGTATCTTTATTTCCTGAATTAGACCATGGAAATACATTTCTCGGAAACAAGGAATAGTACCTTGTGTATTAAGCCTTCACCTTATGCCAGGCACTGAACTACATGCTTGTCAGATTCTTCACATAATCCTCAAAAACAGTTCTTTAAGAAGAGGCTTTTGACTACGGCCATTTCACGACTGGGAAAACTGAAGTTTAACAAGGTTAGCAATTTTGGTGGCAAGACAACTGGCTTCAGCATGATTTACAATTCCTTGGACTGTGCAGAGAAAGATAAACCCAAACACAAACTTGCAAGATATGGCCTGTAGGAGAAGAAAAAGACCTCAGGAAAACAGCGAAGAACAGAGTGAAGAAATGACAGAGTGAGATCAGAACATCAAACCTCAAGTGCGGCCCCTGCCATCCAGAGAGGACTCTGTGTGTACAGGCACCTGCAGGCAGAGTTCCCCAATCTGTAAAATTAGAGGTTGGTCTCGATGACCTTGGACAGCACCTGGAGCCCTGATGGGCCAAGAACTCAATTTCATGAATATAAAGATGTAGACGCTTCTAGTAGGTGTATTTAAATTTGGGGCCCAGGTAATCCCCATTGGGAAGCTGAGTAATGGGCTCATAAAGCCACGAGACTGGCAAAGAACACAGGGGCTTGTTTGTGGCTGAGCCCCAGGTGCAGGACCTCTGAGCCTCAGCGTTCCATGGTCTAGTCACCCTGACCTGTGGTCTATCTAATGGCTGCAAGCTTGATGACCTGATGCAGATCTGCTGTTGGGGCCTGGAGGAGATGGGGGCCATTCCTCACTGTCCCTGCCATATGATCTCTTTTCTCTTTTAAGAGGATATCGATCACCAGTCCCAGGCACCGTGCTAATAAACACTTTACATGCAGAAGTGCGTTTAATCCTCACTAGAATCCTATGAAGAACCGCAACAAGATACCACTTCACAGCCACTGTTGTTGGGTGCTGTGGAGCCGATGATGGCTGTTATCAAAACAATGGAAAATAAGTGTTGTCGAGGATGTGGAGAAATTGGAACCTTCATATATTGCTGGTGGGAATGTAAAATGGTGCAGCCACTTTGGGAAACAATTTGGCAGTTCCTCAAAAAGTTAAATACAGAGTTACCATATGACCCAGCAATTCCACTCCTAACGAGTATACACCCAAAATGCTTGAAAGCATGGACTCAGATACTTGTACACCAATGAGCATTGCAGCATTACTCACAATAGCCAAAAAGTGAAACAACCCAAGTGTCCATCAACAGATGAATGGATAAACAAAATGTGGTATGTTCATGTAATGGGATACTATTCAGCCATAAAAAGGAATGAAATACTGATACATGCTATGACATGGATGAACCTTGAAAACATTATGCTTAGTGAAAGAAGCTAGTCACAAAAAGGCATGTATTATATGATTCCATTTATATTAAATGTCCAGAATATGCAAATCCATAGAGACAGAAAACAGATAATGGTTGCCAGGGGCTGGAGGGAGTAAAGAATGCAGAGTGATTGCTTCATGAGTACGGGGTTTATGAAGAAAAAGTTCTGGAACTAGATAGTGGTAATGGTTGCAAAACGTTGTTTATGTACTAAATGCCACTAAATTGTACATGTTTAAATGCTTAAAATAATGAATTTCACATTGTATATATTTTACCATAATATGAAAAAAAAATTTAATCCCATGAGGTAGGTACTAACATTATTCCCATTTGATACATGGGACACTGAGGCTCAGAGACACTTGACCAGTTCACTTCACTAGGGAACAAAAGAGCTGGGATTTGATCTTAGGTCTGGCTAGTCCAAAGCCCAACTTTCCCAAACATAAGCCCAACATCCATAGCCACAGCTCTGCAAAGGCCTCCACCAAGGGTATGTGTGGTGAAGGGCTTCTTTTTGTAAAATCACACTGGGACCTTGAAAGTCAAACATATATTCCTGTGACCGAAGGCTGTGGAGATGACACTGTTTTTTTATAGCAATGCTAGGCTCTGGTGAGGATTTTATGGGGCAAGAATACGAAATGAATTTAGTATGGGTGACCAGAGAAGGATACAGCAATAGATATAAAAGCTGCTAGCACTTAATAAATATTCCATTCCTTCCTTCCTCTCTCCCCTCCCTCTTTCCCTTGGATGATTAATAGCCCAGACTTTGAAGTCAAGCAGATCTGGGTTGAAATCCTGGTTCAGCCACTTACTAGCTGTGTGACTTTGGACAAGACACTTAACCTCTCTGAGCTTTCAGTTCTGCCATCTGCAGATTGGGACAGGGACAGACAGTATCTCATAAAGTTGTTATGTGAATTTAGAAATATGCATAAAAGGCTTAGCTCAGTGTTGAGTGCATAGTAAATGCTTAATAAATAGATAGCTGTTTTTATTAGTCCCTCCTGCTTCCAGTTCTGCCCCCTAAATAGCTGTGTGACTTGGGCAAGTCCCTTCCTCTATAAGCCTCAAATTACCAATTTGTACAATGAATGTGCTTGACTAGGTTCGTGTTTCCTAAAGTGTGGTACGCTGGTAGTAAGATAAATGATATTATGTGGATATAGATTTTAATCTATAAGATAAAAATAAATTTAAGACAGCAAACACTTGATTTCATTAATATTGTTTAGAATGAAGCTAAGCAAAAAGTAAAAAAAAAAAAACCAATGCTGTCGAGTCGATTCCAACTCATAGCGACCCTATAGGACAGAGTAGAACTGCCCAACACGGTTCCCAAGGAGCGGCTGGTGGGTTCAAACTGCTAACCTTTTGGTTAGCAGCCAATTAAAATAAAATTATTAAGTAAATAATAGATCAGGTAGTACAAAGACATGGCAAAAATTGACAAGGTGGTCCTTGAACAGCCTGAGTTTGGGGAATGCTGATAATCTGGGTTTGATTATATAGCTGCCCAGAGAAACTCAGGCTCATGAGTGACTTGCCAGGGGGCCCCTTGTTCCCCCATTTTTGTAAGTAGCCAAGCCTCTGTAAGCCCCTTTGCCAGGACTTTTGGCTAATGCCCTTTCAGTATATGTTGCAAAAATAGTATAAATAACTCATCCTAGGACTTCAAACATGCCATCTCAGATGTATGGAAGGAGATTACAGGTTTCCAAGACGCAGCCCTTCCATCATTCCCGCGGCTTAGAGGCTTGCAGGAGAACCAAGATCAATGCTTTGGTTTTATGGGCAGCCTGGCCACGTGACCAGGCCCCAAATCCTTTGCTTTATGGGTTGTTTACACATTCCTGGTGAGAAACGGTTTACATTCTGGGTCCTGAGCACGCTCCTAAATCAGCTGCTGGGCTCTTGCAGTTGGAAGTGAAAGAGATCTGTGTGTCGGTGGGCACCAGGAGGCGAGGGGAAGAACAGAGACAGGCAGTTGGAAGAGGTCTGGGGAGGGGCCCCTTGGTTTCCTGTCTGTGGCACCTGGAACCTGTTTCTAAGTCAGTGGGGGGTGTTGTGCAGGGACTGAAGTGGGAGGAACCTGAGGGGTTGTGTGTTCATGTCTATACAGGTGCGCTGGGCTCTCACTCTATGCTGACACGGTATCGATCAACTCACTGGGTTCCCACAACAACCCTGGAACATTGGGATTATTCCCATTTTCAGATGAGGGCAGAGGCTCAGAGAAGTGAAGTGATTTACTCCCTATTATACAGCTGGGTAGTGGATTCAAACCCTCGTCTGACTGGGGCAAAATCTGTGGTCGCACCACTATGCTTTCTTGTCACAGGAACTCTGTAGAAGCCATTTGGGCTGTGTCTGAGTCGGTTTTCTAGAGAAACAGAACCAGTGAGACATGTCTACATATGTAGAAAGAGATTTACTTCAAGGGATTGGCTCACACAATTGTGAGGACAGGAAAGTCCAAAGTCCATAGGTCCAATGACAGGCTGGCGACTCCCGCTGGCTCATGGGATTGTGGAGGGTTGGCAAGTCCAAAATCTGTAGGTCAGGTAGTAGGCTGGAGACTTCTGCAGGCTTTCTTCCCAAGAGCAGTAGGTCAAGCATCAGGAAGAGTGTACACAGAGCAAGTTTTGCCAAAATATTTATTTATAGTCTGGAGGCAGACCACACCCTAAGGAACTCCCCTTTCAACTGATTGATTATATTGCATTAGATTACATTATGGAACAGCAACCAGTCTAGTGTTTGGCAAAACCACTGGGAACCATAGCTAAGCCAAGCTGCCACATAAATTTAACCATCACAGGCTGGAATTTAGGGGGTGTCTCCTGGCACAGGGAGAGAGGATCAGGAGAAGGTGATTCTCGCTTGGGGTTTGCCCCCAACTTGGCTAAATCACCATCTGAGAATTCCCACATCACAGAGTTGGCCTTATGGATCTGATGGACAAGATCCCCTGGGAGTCATCTGGGCACCCCAGGGGTACTCAGTGGGCCCCTCTCCCTCTGCTCTGCACTTCCACTGTTCCCTCCTCCTTCATTCCCCCTCCTTCTTCATTCTTCCAGCTCCACTTCCCGTCTTACCTCTCCCCCGACCACCCCACCACCACCACAGAGTCCTCACAGTTCTTTTGCTTTTCTTGTATCTTTCTCTTTGTGGTTTCTACCACTGGCCCCAGCTCAACTCTCTGTGGCCGTGTGGACTTCTCCCTAGGAAGCTGCTCAGAGGTTGAGGCAGCTCTCAGCCCCCTGAGTCTTCTCCAAGCCACCCAGCCCCAGTGCCTTCAGCAGTTCCCCTTCCTCATCCAAGCTGCTGCTTTCTGAAGCCAGGTAGGAGAAGGCCCAGAGCTGGAGAGGGGCCTTAGCAAGCAGCCTGTGTTAAGGAATATTCTTCCCTATCTGGACTGGGAGGCAGCCAAGTGTTATGGAAAGTGTGCAGGCTCTGGGGTGAGGCAGACAGGGATTAGAGACCTGTTCCAGCACTGATCACCTCACTCAAGGCACTTAACCTCTCTGAGCCTCAGTTTTCTCTTCTGTGAAATAGGAATAGCAATTGTAGCAGACACCTTAGCTTTTTGCTGCCTAGCATGCTTTCACCTTCTACCTGGTAAAACAGTACTCCCAGTTTCCTGTGGAAGAGGGAATCGTTCCTCCTCCACTCTAAACCCATGTGGTTTGGGAGGTAATACCATACTTGGCTCAGGGACTAAGCTACTCAGCACTTCCCTTCTCCACCCCCACCTCGTGATTGGTTTGAAGATGGACATGTGATCCAATCCAGCAATGGGAACTAGGCCTAGGACGTTTGTCCAGCTGTGACTGACAGATGCCATCAAAGCTGTGAGTATGTGTTATATGGAGTCACTTTTGTTTTTTGCTACTGTAAAGATAAAGTGTGTCTAGGAGCCCAGTTGGGGAAGTGGTTAAGAGTTCAGGCTGCTACCAAAAGTTCGGCAGTTCAACTGCACCAGCCGCTCCTTGGAAACCCTATGAGGCAGTTCTACTCTATACTATAGGGTCGCTATGAGTTGGGATCGACTCAACAGCACAAAACAACGACAACAAGAAGAATGGAACAACACACAGAGCTGAGTCAAGCCAGGGGATGGCTACATTATTTGAGTGCCTGCGTTAAGCTGTGCCTGAAGCCAGCTTCTTTGGACTTTCAGATACACAAACCAGCAAATTCCCTGTGGAAGATTGATTGCAAAAATAGCCTCAATTCTCTACCCCTTCCTGTACCCATGCTCTTACAATATGGCTTTGCAGCAGCTCCCATCAAGAGGTGGAATCTACCATAGTCTCTGGGAACATGTAGCTCAATTGGCATAACATAGTTTATAAAAAAGTTCTACATTCAACTGTGGTAAGTAGCGTCTGGGGTCTTAAAAGCCTGTGAGCAGCCATCTAAGATGGCTCATCCCTTCAGGAGCAAAGGAGAATGACGAAAACTAAAGACACATGGCAAAGATTAGTCCAAAGGACTAGTGGACCACAACTACCACAGCCTCCACCAGATTGAGTCCAGCACAACTAGATGGTGCCCGGCTACCACCACCAACTGCTCTGACAGGGATCACAATACAGGGTTCTGGATAGAGCAGGAGAAAAATGTAGAACAAAATTCTAACTCACAAAAAAAAAAGACCAGACTTACTGGTCTGACAGAGACTGGAGAAACCTGGAGAGTATGGCCCCCGAGCACCCTTTCAGCTCAGTAATGAAGTTACTCTGGAGGTTCACTCTTCATCCAAAGATTAGACAGCCCCATAAAACAAAATGAGACTAAAGGGGCACACCAGCCCAGGAGCAACGACTAGAAGGCAGGAGGGGACAGGAAAGCTGGTAACAGGGAACCCAAGGTCAAGAAGGGAGAGAGAGTGTTGACCTGTCGTGGGGTTGTAAACAAATGTCATAAAACAATATGTGTACTAACTGTTAATGAGAAACTAGTTTGTTCTGTAAACCTTCATCTAAAGTACAAAAAAAAAAAAAACAAGAGACAGAATCTTTTCCTCACTCCTTGAATCTGGGTTGTTCTTGTGATTTGCTTTGTGCAATAGAAAGTGGAAGAAGTGATGACAGGCCAGTTTCGAAGCTAGGCCTCAAGAGGCCTTGCGCACTTACATTCACTCTCTTGGACCTGTGAACAAACCTAGGCCAGCCTGCTGGAAGATGAGAGACCCCTAGAGGAGAGCCCACTTGTCCCAGCCAAGGCCATCCTGGACCAGCCTACAGCCTGCTGGCTGGAAACACACAAGACAGCCCACCTAAGATTGGCAGAGCTGCCTACCTGGCCCATAGCTGACCACAGAGCTGAGTTCAGCGAGATCAGAAATACCACCCAGCTGGCCTGTAGACTTATGAGGGCAATAATAAATGCTCATTGTTTTAAGCATTGCATTTTGGAGTGGTTTATTTTGCCTCCCTAAACTCCAGTTTCCTCATTTGTAAAACAGGGATTCAAAAATAGTAACCACGAAGACAGTCTGGTAGTTTCTGACAAAGCTAAATAAACAGACTTACCATACGATGCAGCAATCACTCTCCCTTACCCAAATGAGATGAAAATGTTATGTCCACCTACAACCCTACGCACAAATGTTTATAGCGACTTTATTCATAATTGCCAAAAACTGGAAGCGACTAAGATGTCCTTCAATAGATGAACGGGTAAACAAACGGTGGTACATTCATACATTGGAGTATTATTCATCAATAACAGAAATGAGCTATCAAGCCACAAAAAGACATGGGAGAAGCTTTAAATGCACATTGCCAAGTGGAAGAAGCCAGTCTGAAAAAGCTACATACTGTGTGATTCCAACTATATGACATTCTGAAAAAGGCAAAACTATAAAGACAGCAAAAAGATAGTGGTTAGCAGGAGTTCATGGTGAGGGGGCAGGGATGAATAGGTAGAACACAGGGCATTTTTAGGGCCACGAAGCTATTCTGTATGACGCTGTAATGGTGGACACATGACATTATGCGTTTGTCAAAACTGATCGGACAGTACAACACAAAGCGTGAACCGGAATATATAGACTTGAGTTAATGATAATGTATCAATATCAGTTCATCAGTTACAGTAAAACTTGTGTAAGGCGGGAACCTGTCAGAGAAGGAAAACTCAAATATTTTCCACTAAAACAGGAAACAGAAAAGTGGTAAGACTGCACCCTGTCAAAGGCCGAAAACTTGTGAGACCCAGAAAAAGAAAGCAGTTCGGTCGAGTTCCGGCTCTCACAAGAAACGCAGTACAAAATGCAAGATGTTAATAATAAAAGAAACAATGTGAGGCGGGGGTATATGGGCACGCTCTGTACTTTCTGCACAATTTTTCTGTAAACCTAAAACTGCTCAAAAAAATAAAGTCTATTAAAACAAGCTAACAAACAAACAAATACACATACACACACACACACACACACACACAAACAAATTAAAACCTGTGAGAGCTGGAACTCGACTGGACTGTTGTCTTCTTTTTCTGGGTCTCCCAAATTTTCCGCCTTTGACAGGGTGCAGTCTTACCTCGTTTGTATCGCTCTTTTTAGTGGAAAATATTTAAGTTTTCCTGCTCTGACAGCTTTTCCGCCTTACACAGGTTCTGGCTTTTGCAGGTTTCACGGCGTATAGTAACCGCGGTAGAGGGTGTGGTGACGATTAAATGGAATAGCTCATTTAGAGCGTTACATGGGTCCTGGCACAGAAAACGTTAGCAATCAGTAGTAGTTTGCTGTTCATTTTAGTTTACTTTTTTTGTTTGTTTAGCAACAAGTTTTTTATGGTTACAAAAGTCATGCATGTTACTATTTTAAAATTCTAAAAAATACAGAAAAGTGCAAAGAAATTCCTATAAAATGTCAGCCCCCTTTCTACCTATATATGTGCATTAAAAAAAAAAAATTATGTCCATACCATGCATACCGTCCCCTGACTTCCTTCCTTCCTCCAGCAATAGCTCAAAAACAGTTCCCAAAGGATTGTTATTCTTAAATGCCCATTACTGTCCTGATTTGCTGGGAAGAGGGAAAGGAGAAACTAAATTGAGTTTCAGAGAGAATGGCTTGCTTCCTTTGGGGAAGCTGTGGGCCTCCCTCCCTCATTACGGGGCACCGGCCCCTTACATCCCTTTCTGGAGATGTTAGTCAGAAGAGAATCTCTCTCCTCGCCCGCTCCCCAGTTGGTGGGTGCCCAGCCTCTTCTCATCCCTTCATGCTCACCCTCCCCCCATCTCGCCTTGCCCCTCCCAGGTGCTAAATGGTGGGCGGGTGGCGGGGGGGATTTCAGTCTGGAGTGAATGTTTACAGCTTACTTGAAACCCTTAAAAATAAAAATTCATCATAAACTGACAGATCCTTAAATTTAACTGTGCAAACAGTGCCACTAGAATATTTAAAGTTTCACTTGAATGGACATTCTATCAAAACCACATGGGCTCCACCTGGGCTCCCTCGCTGCTGGATTTGAAGAAATGCTGGCAGAGGTGTTTATTTGGGCTGAAGGCACAGGCCTGTTTGCTTTGGGTTGCCTTTTTTCAGGGGTCTTCATGTTGCTTGGTTGATAGTCCTGGGCCTCAGGCCTCAAGGTTCTGTGCTTCCTCCTCTGTACATAAGCAAAGCAAAGCACAAAGAGCAGTTAACAACGTGGGCTTGGGCTTCAAGCTTGCTGAGTTTGAATATTGGTTCTACAAGTGACTAGCTGTGTGACCTTCAGAACCTTACCTGACTTCTCTGTGCCTCAGTTTCCTCATCTGTAAAATGGGAGTGATGACAATAGTTCTTTCTTATTATGAAGGCTAAATGAGTTAATGTATGCAACACAGCAGTACCTGGAATATAGACTGTCCTCAATAAGTGTGTGTGTGTATATGTGTGTGTGTGTATGTGTGTATGTCCTCAGGTGTAGAGTGTTGAGTTAATCCAAGTCTTCAGTTTATGCACATTGCCACCACTGGTGACAACTGATTGACTGATTCCCCTTTATTCTCATTCCTCTTCCCATTCTCTGCCCACCTTAGGCAACCATTTTCATCTGTTTAGTGTATCCTTCTTTTGTATGTACTCTTGATAAAACGTATTATTGTTTTGGTTTTCATACATTTCTTATTTACCTAAAGGCATGTTACAAATTTCATTCCTTTTATTTTTTACTCAGAATTATGACCAATCCCTAGAAAAGAACATCATATTTGGTAAAGTAGAAGGTCAGCAAAAATGAGGGAAGCCTTCAATGAGAAGGACTGACACAACAGCCACATCAATGGGCTCAAAAATATCAAAGACCATGAAGATGGTGTAGGACCAGGCAACATGTCATTCTGTAATATTGCCATGAGTCTG